TAGGTGAGGGACTTCCTTGGCCATCCAGTGGTTAAGACCCCACACTTTCAACACAGGGGGCATGGGTTCAATCCCTGGTCAGGGAACTAAGATTCTACATGCTGCATGGCATGGCCAAAATAATAATAACAACAACAATTATTATTATTATAGGTGAGATAACTTATTTCCTTTGTCCTTGCTGAAGAGTTTTAAAGAAAGTCCTAGCTAGCATGACATTTCTCTCTTAAATACTTCAGAATTCATTTGTAAAAAATAAAAAATTTTTGTATATGAGATATTAATCTCATGTAAGAATAATGAGGTAATGATATTGTAATATCGTTATGTAATATGTATATGTATGTAAATGTATATGTGTGTATATGTAAATTGTAATATTATGATGTAACACCTGGGCTTCCCAGGTGGCGCAGTGGTAAAGAATCCACCTGCCAATGCAGGAGAGACAAGAGACATGGGTTTGATCCCTGTGTTGGGAAGATCCCCTGGAGTAGGAAGTGGCAACCCACTCCAGTATTCTTGCCTGAAAATTCCATGGACAGAAGAGCCTGGAGGGCTACAGTCCACGGGGCTGCAAAGAGTCAGACACAACTGAGCGTGTGCACACACATACACACACTAACAATAATCCACTTTTTCTTAAAACCAACTTACTCCACTCAGTTCTGTCCACACTTGTCCCCACTATTCCACACAAACTTCCCTTGCCTAAATCACTCCTGACCAATATGTTGCTAAGGAATGGCTATTTCTCACTGGTAGTGACCAACCATCTCAGCTGGCTAAGGCCTTACAGTGCCCAAACGGGGAGTTCTGGACAAACTAGGGCAGTCTGGTTCTCAGTTCTTATTTTTCTCATCTTTTAAGGAGCAACTGACAAGGGTAATCACTCTTTCCTCCTTGAACAACATTTGTCTTGTCTTCTGGGATGCCACTCTCCCTGGGTTCTCCCTCCCTCTCTGGCCACTTCAGAGTTAACTCTCACTGATTCCGTGCATCTGCCTGACCGCTGAATCTTGGCACATCGCAGGGTTCTCCATTCTTAGTCCTCATCCTTCTGCACTTTCAAGTCTTCCAATACACATAACACACTGATGATGCGCAGATTTCTACCTCCAGCCCAGACCTCTCACCTGAATGTCAGATTTTATTCCAGCAAATTCCTTGGCATCTTCCCTTAGAAGTCTTAAAGTCATCTCAAACTTAGTAGTCCAAAACCGAACTCCTGATTTCTCCCCTAAAATCTACTCTTCTCATAACTCTCCTTATGACAGTAAATGGCAACTTCATTCTTCTGTCTGCTCAGAGCAAAAACCCTGCATGTTTGAGTCCTTCCACACTCACAAGGAATCCACCAGCAAATTCTGATGAGTCTTCTTTCGAAAACTATTAACAATCCAGCTACTTCTTACTAGCTCCACTGGCATTTTTTGCTCAAATTATTGCAATAACCTTCTGACTGGTGCTCACTTCAATCAATGATAGTTTCCGTCACTCTAAAATGCTGTGATTTTTACACCATTATATTCAGTTCAGTTCAGTCGCTCAGTCGTGTCCGACTCTTTGTGACCCCATGAATCGCAGCACCAGGCCTCCCTGTCCATCACCAACTCCCAGAGTTTACTCAAACTCATGTCCATCGAGTCAGTGATGCCATCCAGACACCATGCAAAGAATCATGTACTAACAGAGATTTGAAACTATATTCCCTATAAATCTGTACCAAAGGAATATATGAAGTCATAGGCATAATATTGATTCTATTTTAATGCTTGATTTTACAAAGAATCTATCCTAAGCTGGCTCTAGAGATTTATAATTTAAAAATCAAATTGTCTAGGACTATGGAATACTCCTTCTACATTTATCCATCTCTTAAGCTACACTATACATGAAAACAATTTAGTCACTGCTATTTAAATCCTTTTCAAACTGACACAGACTTTTTTAAGTATCTCCAGAATGTTATATAAACTTATATTAAAATGCATGATTCTTATATTAAGAAGCCCAAAAATATGGGAGAAACCTTAATAGTTGGATTCTATTCTGTGTGCCCATTCCTGGAAGCCAAATTTTCTAGAGGTGGGGCTGCATAACAATAACAGCTAAGTTTATGTTTTAGTTCTTCATTATAAATAGTATTCTACTTCTCACAAACTTATTTCTAAGTTGCCCAAGCAAAACATTAATTTTTAGCATTACATCATGGTCTTTATTTTAGAAGCTGTCCTTAAAAAAGAAGTAATCCTAATTCTTTTAGAAGAATTCTTAAAAAAAAAACTAATATGACAATTGTTTCACTGCTGTGACAAAAATATGTTTCTAATTATCTTTCCTCAGACACTCTCCAGCAAACACAACCATTACTATTCCTAATTCTCAATAATCAATAAAATATTGGCCAAGCACTTCATTATTAAGATTACTTGCAAAGAGGCATGGAGAATGTTATCTGTGGTTTATCCACCAAGAATCCTAATGGAATATCTACTGCAACCACAAAACCATGCTGAATACTATATAGACAAACAGACTTTCCTCTCTGAAAGCCTTGCTGACTTGCTCTGCAAGAGTGAAAAGCTGAGTCAATTCTCTGAGAAACCAGATGGTAAAGAGCAGCTACTCAAGGCAGGCACCTTCCTGGGAGTGAGGAGGTGTTTCTGGGAGAAGGAGCACTGCCTGCTCCCTCCTTCCATGCTCCGAGAAAAATATGCTGTGGCAAGCACACACCCAATCCTCTCCAGTCCCCTGAAGTCATGACATGTCTCTGGGGGCAGTTCTTCCAGCTCTCATTCATATAAGTCTCCCAAGGCTGCTGTGATATTTCAGATCTCTTCCACAGTGTCACAAGACTTGCAGTTCCTAATTGCCTGCTGAACTGTATCCCACGTTTGCTCAACCACATCCTTAGGGGAACACGGGTTGCTGTAAAGCTTACAATGTGGTCCAGCACGATCATCGCCTTAGTTTCTTTGGAACAGGTCCGGCACCATCATAGTAGATCTTTTTCAGCCATCAACGTTCCACACTTTTTTTTTTTTTTTTTGCCAGAACGAAGTGTAAATGATAGGAGGGGCAAAGTAAACAGCCCACTTAACAATACTGCTTACCATGCCCTACCCAGGATTACCCAGAAGGGCCCTCATGGGCCAAGTACTTTTTCCAGATGGTGGGCTGCTGCTCCTCGGGTGCCATGCTGGCCCTGGCTAAGAGCATATGTAAATGGGAAATATACATATACTGTGAATGCTAATGGAGTCCACAGAGGTTCTAAGTGCATTGCGAGTCTCCTAGCGCCCTATGCCCTACCTCTCAATACCAGAAGGGCTCATCACCTATTAAGTCTTTTGATGGAAAAAAATGGCTGAAGTCCCTCACAAAGGAGGTTTATTCAGCTCACCTTTACCTAAGTGGACTGACTGCTATATAGATGTGTCATTTGTCTGTGTATAAATACTAGCTCACATCGTCTCCACTGACACAGCCAAGTTTGCAACAACCAGTTGAGCGGGAGCACGAGTAACAGTTTCAGATATTCCTTTAGCTCATACTCACACATCACCTTTGTCAGAACGCCCATAAAATTAAGGCCTCAGTGTAAACACTTCCTACAGATAACTGGAAACTCTTTCACAGAGAAGCTATCGTCATTTGTTTCAAGTGGTTTTCTGCTTCAAATTAGCATCTGTTCTCACTTCCTAATGAGCACCCTTATATCTTTGGGGAGAATTACCCCTTGCCCCTGTGTGCAGGTTTTTTTTTTAGTATTTATTTATTTGGCTGCATAGGGTCTTAGTTGCAGCAGGCAGGATCTTCACTGCTTCACGAAGGATCTTTGCTGCTCAGAGCGCACAGCCTTCACTAACTGCAGCTTAGTTGCTTCAGGCATGTGGGATCTCAGTTCCGCAACCAGGGATCGAAGCTGCGTCCCCTGCATTGCAAGGCGGATTCTTGACCACTAGACCACCAGGAAGTCCCTGTAGTTTTGAGGGGATGATACCCGCTTCCTATACAAAAGCAGAGAGACTAGATGCTTTTCCCTTTCATTATGGTAGTAAAGTGACTGGCACACTTGCAGTAAGGCCTCAACCAATCGGATGCTTCCTCTCAAGACTCTGAATCTTGAGGGACCCAAGGGTCATGCCTTATCCCAACTGTTCCAGCTATGGTATCATTCCCATACTACAGGTTTCCTCACTCTGGAGCAGTCTTGGTTACCGTCCTCCCCAGGCCTGGTCCTCCAGGCTCCCTGTCAACCTGTGAACACCAAATAGATGCCAGTAAAAATCCCTTTTCCTTGGTTCATCCAGAATCTCTGTCTGTTACTTACACCACAGCATTCTGACTAACCCACAAACATAACTGAGAAAGACATGATGCTGACTCCAAAAATATCTTCTCTTTGGCTGGTAGGAGGTAGCTCAGTAAGCTGTTAATGATTAAGGCTGTGTGTTTTCAATAAATCTGCAGATAATGACCTGGCTTGTTCTACTGGTGCTCCTTGTAGACTAACCAACGGCCAGCATTCTAATGTGAATCACTTGAATATTTTTCAACCCACTTGACTATTCTGAGCTTTATTTGTCAGCTAAAAAAAATAAACCCCAAAGCTTTCTTTTCCTTTTTTTTTTTTTTTAGATATTTGAAATACAACTTTATTCTGATTCTAAATGAAAAGGAATGGGAATGACAGTAACAAACAAGATTCCACCTCTCAATATTGTCATGTGACTATAGCAGTCTTATATTTGAAACTCAAGGAGGAAACAACTGTGTTCCAAAACACCTAAATATGCAGGTCCAAAAAATGAAGGTATTTTTTTTTTAAACTGCCACATTCACTCCAAAGCCCATCCATCTCCTTCAGCATCCAAAGATTAAGCACATGTTCTGCTTAGCTATATAATAAAGTGGCAAACACACTGCACCACTGACATCACAGGACAGTTGCCTATAAAACTAGACTTCTGACACTGGGCCCCAGCTTCACTTTCTCACAGGTCATCATCTTCATCCGGGAGAGCAGTTGTCTGAGCAACCTCTAAATCATGCTCGTACTGTGCTGCCAAGGCTGGATCCATGACCACCTCTGGCGGGGTAAGAGCAGGCATGGTGACAAACTCCAAGTTAGGGTCTCCAATCAATTTTCTAGCAAGCCAGAGGAAGGGCTTTTCAAAGTTGTAGTTACTTTTGGCAGAAATGTCATAGTACTGAAGACTCTTCTTTCGGTGGAAGACAATTGACTTTGCCTTAACCTTTCTGTCCTTAATATCCACTTTGTTGCCACACAACACAATTGGGATGTTCTCCCACACTCGTACCAGATCTCTATGCCAGTTAGGCACATTCTTGTAAGTAACTCTTGATGTTACATCAAACATTATAATGGCACGCTGAGCTTGTATATAATAGCCATCTCTCAGTCCACCAAATTTCTCCTGACCAGCTGTATCCCATACATTGAACTTAATAGGTCCTCTGTTGGTATGGAACACAGAGGATGGACCTCAACACCCAAGGTAGCTACATACTTCTTCTCAAATTCACCAGTCAGATGACGCTTCACGAATGTAGCTTTTCCAGTACCACCATCACCAACCAAAACAAGTTTGAACTGAACTTGGGGTTCTCCTTGGGCAGCCATCGCGATGTTACTTCCAGAAGCGTCTCCGCTCCCATCTGACTGAGGGCTGGAAAGATGGCGGAAGCGCAATTCAAATGCCCGGAGATGCAGCCCCAAAGCTTTCATTTTTATTAACCAGCTTAAACTATTTTAGTCTGGATAAGGCAGTACTACCTCATTTGCCTCATATCTCAGCATGCTGCTTAAAAGCCAGGGTGGGATATGACTTCCCTTTTCTTCCCAGAACTTGTACGATAAGAAACTTCCCATTTTGTCTGTCCTTCAGATTCATCTATGGGAATAAAAGTTCTCCTGGATGTGCTTATCAGAAATGAGTCAAAGATAAGAAAGGACTAGGAATGCCTAGATTAAGGCACCTGTGACCAGGAGGAAAGAGAGTCATCCACCCAGAGAGCAAAGCAGGAAGTCCCATGTGTGAGGTGGGCAGGGAGGGGGTAGGATTGCAGCCAGGAGCCCTCAGAATGGGCACAATGAGTGCCCCAGCTGCTACTTTTATGAGGTTTTACCCTGAAGAACTCTCGAGCTTTCAGCTACATAGATCTGTGGATTCCACACAAGCAGGCTGAGGGAGGGGCTTGTGCTGGCAGCTGCTGGGGAGGGAACAGGTAAAGGAGCGACCTGAGGGATCCTCAGGAACCCCATAATAGAGGCAGCTCTTTACCCCAAGGCTTTGTTTCATGACAGAAGCAAAATACCAACAAAACCCCAGACTGCCCAAACTGGCATTTTGCCAAGGCTTGTTTACCAGTCAGTCTCTTAAACCAGCCTCCCTGCTGCTTTCCAATGTTCGAGAAATCCGGCTTCTATAGAGAGCAGCTCAGAGGTGGAGTATTCCCAGAGACAGGGTGGTGATTTGAGATTTCTCCCTAGATCAACCTAGTCCCAGGGCAGACTGCAGGCACCAAAAGGAATACTCAGAACTGAACACCTACTCGAGTCTCAAAGGATGGTCCCTAAAGGGCAGAGAAGTGGTTGGAAGGTTGAAGAAAAGATGGAAAAGCCAATAAAAGAGCTGAAAATACAGATCTAGGGTGTACAAGTGTTTGAACAAGGTTCCCAGCTGGCCGAGAAAGGGAAGAAAGAAGGAAAGGGGACTGCTGCTCACCAGCAACTTGATTTCATTACTTTTTTTTTAATTGCATTTTTTATTGAGATAAAATTCACCATTTTAAAGTGTATTATTCAGTGCATTTTAGTATATTCGTGATGTTGAGTAACCATCACAACTATCTAATTTCAGAACATTTTGATCACCCAAAAAAGAAATCCCATACCCATTAGCAGTCACTCCCCATTATTCCAGGCTTCCCCAGGTGGTACTAGTAGTGAAGAACCCATTTGACACTGAAGGAAACACAAGAGACACAAGTTAGATCCCTGGGTGGGAAAGATGACCTGGAGGAGAAAATGGCAACCCACTCCAGTATTCTTGCCTAGAGAATCCCATGGACAGAGAAGCCTGGCGGACTATGGTCCAGAGGGTAGCAAAAAGTCAGACATGACTGAAGCAACTTCATGCACACACACATGCCCCATTATTACATCCCCTAGCCTCCAGCAACCACAAATCTACTTTCATTCTCTATGGACTTGCTTATTTTATATATTTCATCCGAATGGAATCACATTGTATATGGCCTTTTGCATCTGTCTTCTTTCACTTGCACAATGTTTCCAAGGTTCATCCATCTTATAACATGTATCATTACTTTATTTCCTTTTGAGCTTAATAATATTCCAGTGTATGGACATACCACATTTGTTCATCCATTCATCAACTGATGAACATTTAGATTGCTTCCACTTTTTGGCTGTTATGAATAGCACCGCTGTCAGCATTCATATATGTGTTTTCAGTTCTCTTCCATGTGCACCTAGGAGTGGAATTGCTGGGTCATAGACTTCATTACTTCTTGAGATTCTTGTTCTCACTGCAGGAGTATGGAGCAAAATGGCAATACAGTCCTTGCTGTCATGCTCCTGGCTATAAAGCTCTAACCACAGAGGGTTCAGTGTGATGGTTTGATGTGAGCCCATGTTTCCTGCTGGAATGTGATGAAGACCACAGCCTTCCTATAAAGAGGAAGAAGAAGGTGATGTGACAAAGGAAGCCAGGCCAGAGTCAGAGGGCCCTTGGAGGCAGTTCCCACTGCCTCCAGCTATGAGCTCAGCTCTTCCCCTGAACCTATGGTCCTATCCACAGCCCATTCAGCACTGCTCTTTCCAGAAACACCAAAACATGGGTCAGATGGCCAAGTGAATACATGCAAAGAGCTGATAAGATTTTTTAACCCACTACTGTATTCCAATGTCTTAGTTCAGGTTGCTCTAACAAAATACTATAGACTGGGTGGTTTATAAATAATGGAAAATTATTTCTCACAGTTCTAGAGGCTGGAAGTTCAAGCTCAGGGTGTCAGTCAAGTTCTGATGAAAGCTCTCTTGATGACTACTGACAGTCATTTTCTCATTGTGTCTTCACTTGTGGAAGGGGTGAGGGAGCTCTCTGGGGCCTCTTTTATAAAGGCACTAATACCACTCATGAGGGCTCCACCCTCATGACCTAATCATCTTCCAAAGGCCCACCTCCAAATACCACTGCATTGAGGATTAGGTTTCAACATACGAATTCTGGAGGAACACAGTCTATAGTGCCTGGAAACTTCAATGCTTTACTTTCTAAAGTCTTTCTTCCCTTTATCATTGTGTTCCGCAATGAAAGCCAGAGAACTACGAGGCTGGACACCCTGGTAACCCTCTGCCTGGTCCATCTCCTGCCCATATTTTCCTTCATTCCATGACGCTCTTCATTCCTTTCTCTGCCTTTGTCTTCATTTCCTTCGTCAACTGTCAAACAGCTGGAAGAGAATGCACACTTTTCTTCTAATCAAAGTTTGTCTTCCTCTGACCTCACAGGATATTTTATGCTGTTCTTCTCATCCAAGAAATCCTGTAGGTACTGTTGCAATAGTTCAGATAGATTCTCATCCTCAAAATGCAGATGCTCAGGAAACCCACAGGATGATGATGAGAGCTGCTTTTTTTGCTATCGTGGTGGGATTGTGATAGTGGTGGAAAAGGTTAAAATGTTGTTTCTAGAGTTAATTAAAATGAAAAAAGAAGACTCATCCAAATACTAGGTATTGGGCAACTATCTGGGGGGAAGTGTGTCTTACCACCTTGAACCTGTGCAGATCCTGCCTCAGTTCAGTTCAGTCAGTCAGTGGTGTCAGACTCTGCGACCCCATGGACTGCCACACGCCAGGCCTCCCTGTCCATCACCAACTCCCGGAGCTTACTCAAACTTATGTCCATTGAGTCGGTGATGCCATCCAATCATCTCAGCCTCTGTCATCCCCTTCTCCTCCTGCCTTCAATCTTTCCCAGAATCAGGGTCTTTTCAAATGAGTCAGTTCTTCACATCAAGTGGCCAAAGTATCAGAGTTTCAGCTTCAGCATCAGTCCTTCCAAAGAATATTCAGGATTGATCCCCTTTAGGATGGACTGGTTGGATCTCCGTGTTGTCCACGGCTCTCTCAAGAGTCACAGTTCAAAAGCATCAATTCTTCAATGCTCAGCTTTCTTTATAGTTCAACTCTCACATCCATACATGACCACTGGAAAAACCATAGCCTTGACTAGATCGACATTTGTTGGCAAAGTAATGTCTCTGCTTTTTAATATGCTTTCTAGGTTGGTCATAACTTCTCTTCCAAGGAGCAAGCATCTTTTAATTTCATGGCTGCAGTGACCATCTGCAATGATTTTGGGGCCCAAGAAAATAAAATCTCTCACTGTTCCCATTGTTTCCCCATCTATTTGCCATGAAGTGACGGGACCAGATGCCATGATCTTAGTTTTTGAATGTTGAGTTTAAGCCAGCTTTTTCACTCTCCTCTTTCACTTTCATCAAGAGGCTCTTTAGTTCTTTACTTTCTGCCATAAGTGTGGTGTCATCTGCATATCTGAGGCTATTGATACTTCTCCCTGCAATCTTGATTCCAGCATGTGCTTCATCCAGTCTGGCATTTCACATGGTGTACTCTGCATATAAGTTAAATAAGCAGGGTGACAAAAAAGAGCCTTGACCTACTCCTTTTCCTATTTGGAACCAGTCTGTTGTTCCATGTCCAGTTCTAACTGTTGCTTCTTGACCTGCATACAGATTTCTCAGGAGGCAGGTTAGGTGGTCTGGTATTCCCATCTCTTTCAGAATTTTCCAGTTTACTGTGATCCACACAAAGGCTTTGGCATAGTCAATAAAGGAGAAGTAGATGTTTTTCTGGAACTCTCTTGCTTTTTTGATAATCGAATGGATGTTGGCAATTTGATCTCTGGTTCCTCTGTCTTTTCTAAAACCAGCTTGAACATCTGGAAGTTCACGGTTCACGTATTGCTGAAGTCTGCCTTGGAGAATTTTCAACATTACTTTACTAGCATGTAAGATGAGTGCAATTGTGTGGTAGTTTGAGCATTCTTTGGCATTGCCTTTCTTTGGGATTGGAATGAAAAACTGACCTTTTGCAGTCCTGTGGTCACTGCTGAGTTTTCCAAATTTGCTGGCATATTGAGCACAGCATTTTCACAGCAACATCTTTTAGGATTTGAAACAGCTTAACTGGAATTCCAGATCCTGCCTAGGTGGCTCATGATGCTGGCAGGTGAGAAGGCCTTATATACTTGTGAGAAGAACATTTTGACCACTCTTTTTCAATGCCTAACTTTATGTGGTACGTG